TATTTTGAAAAAATAATTTATTAATATTTATCTAATATACTAATCTTTTTATACTGAATCATATCTAAAAATATTGAAAGAGTAATAAAAGATAATTAAAATGATAAAAGAGTAATTTTTTTAATAAGCAAGAGAAAAAAGAATAAAATAAATATATAATATATTATACTAATAATCTTTAACTTGATTATATATTTTTAATTTATTAATGATATTATATTTAAAAATATTTATTAATATTATAATTTATTAATAATATTATAATATATTAATACTATATATAATTAAGATAATATAATTTTATTAATTTATTATATAATATGTGATTTAAAATAAAAAATTAAAAAATTTAAAATAAAGTTATATAATTATTAAGTTATAATTTTCTATATCATATTAGTTTAATTTTATATAATATATAAAAGATTTTTATGTAATTATTATATAATTTAGTTTTAAGATAAAAGTTTTATTTTTGAGTTTTATTTTTATTTTTGATATATCTATAGTAAAGTCATATTTTTACTAATATCTAGTATTTTTTGAGTTTTAAATAAAATATTTTTGTCTAATTTATTTAATTTCATATAATATTATTTTAATATTATATAAGATGATAAAATTTTATAGAATTTGATTTTATTATATTTTATATCATAAATTAATAATTATATAATATAATAAAATATAATATAATAATAGTAATAGTTTTCTTAAATACAAAATACTATTATTTAGTAATAATTTATATGCTTGGAAAAATAGAGTAATAGTTTATAAAGTTTTATATATATCTTTTTTTTTGAAAACTTTAAATTTTAATTTTACTTTATTATTTTTCTTATTAAAATATCTTATAAAAATTAAATTATTTATAATAATAATAGTACTATTTTGATTTCTTTTAACTAATTAGTCAAATAGTATATTATAAATTATTTTCTCTTAAGAAATATATAATTAAAATTTCAAAGTTATTTATATATTAATCAATTAATTTATGAGAAATTAATTAAATTATATTATATTAAGAAAGTTATAAATTATATTAAATAAGAAGTTTTTAATATAAGAAAATTCACAAATAGAATTAATAATATTCTTGAACTTATAAAAAAAGATTAAAATTAAGTAGATAATATTCATATAGAGATAGAAAAAGATAAATTATGTTAACACTAACTAATATATTATGCTGATAATGAAAATAAATATCAATATTTATATAAAAAGATTAGTAGATGTAAATAAAATTATGTGAATTACAACTTGTCAAATAATTTAAAAAATAATAATAATATATATTAATACTTAATTAGAGTTTATTTATATTTATATTTATATATAACCTATATATTTTATATAAAGATTAAAGAAATATATTTTCTATTTCATATAATTATATCTTAAAATATTCAAATCTCTTGAATTAGTTTAACTAGAAAAAAAAAGATAAAATTACTATTAGTAGATATACAAATAATAAAATAGTTAGAGAAATTAAAAAAAAAACTACTTATCTCTTATAATAATAATGATAAAGATATATTAAAAAATATATTTTTAACTAGTTATGAAGTCTGTAATAATAAGACTTTCAAATATTTTATTACTTATAAAGATAGAAGACTTAAAGATAGTATTAACTCTTGGATAATCTTATATTATTTGATATTAAAAGTTTTAAAATCAAAGGATTATATACTATATTATCAACAATCAGATCTAAAAAAATAGTTAATTATTATTATTAGTTGATAATCTTTAATGAGTTTTGATTAAAAAATAGATAAGACTATGATCAGTATTACTTAAATATTAATAAAAAATATGATTTAAATATTGATTAAACTTTAATATTATTAATAATAATTGAGAATAAAATCAAGTATGCTATTTTTTTAGTATTTGATAAGATAAGATATAATAAATTAATCTTAATTACTGAATAAAATAATTAAATAATAAATTAATATTAATATTAGATTAAGTAATAAAGAGAATAATTAGATAATTAGATTAATAATTATTATAATATAAGAAAATATATTTTATTTCAAACTCTAATGTAATTATTCATAATACTATAAAAATTTGTTAAATAAAAAAATTTTAAAAGAATTAAAAATTATTAATTAACTCAAATATGATATCCAATAGTTATAATTAATAAATATTAGTTAATAAAAATAGATATATAAAAATTCTTTTATAAAATTATTCTCTGTTAATTTTATATAATACAAATATTAAATAATTATTTTAAAAAATAGAATATCTTATATTAACTAAGACTAATATTTATTTTATTAAATCAAATTATTATTTAAAATAATAATAATTATTTTTAATAAAAAATTATATAATTAAATATTTAATTACACTTGAATTTAAGTTAATTAATAGATATTATATTAAACAAGAGATCTTTGAAATATTTTCATATTATAAAAAACTTATTAACTCACTCCTTCTAATTCAAGAGCAAAAAAAAGACTTATTAATAATCTTGATAATAATTAGATATGTAATAAATAAAAGATGATATTCATTAATACTAATTAGCTTTCTAGAAATTACTTTAAATCAAATTTAATAATAATTAATAATTATATAGAATAAATTAATAAAATAATTGAATTATCTTTGCTAAATAAATAAATCATAGTGATATTTATTAAAAGATTATATAAAGTAAAATTATTATATAAAAACTATTATAAAGAAGAAACTAGCTGAATTACTTACAAATCTGACTTGATAATATTATTTAATATATAAGTTATAGAGTAAATAAGTTAAAGATAAATAATTAAAAATTTAATTGAAAAAAAAATAATAAATAAATAATTTAAATTATTTAAACTAATTTATAAGAAAATAAATCTATAAGAATGATCTCTAACATAAATTAATATTTGAATCAAAAATAATTATATTTTTTTTATATTATGTTAAAAATTCAGATTATTTAAATTATTATTTTATTAAGAAAAATTAAAGTTTACTAACTGAGTACTAACTATTAAATAAGAAGTTTATTCATATAGATGAAAACTATTTCTAATATCTTCAACTTATAATAAAAAAGCTCTTTACAATCTTTAAAATTGAGTTAAGAAAGAAATATTATCTGACTAATATTATAATTAGTAAATATTTATTCTGTTTAGATTATATTTAAAAAGAATTATTTTATGATATTTATAAGTATTGCTATGTTACTCAAATATTTTTAGAAGTTAAGAAATCAAATTATAAAAAATTCTATAAAGAAATCAAGAATAAACTAGTAATATATTTTAAAAATAAAGAAAAAATATTGCTAGCTAATCAAAAAAATAAAATGATATGCTCTGGATTAGTAAAAGATACTTATAATTATATAATATATCTTTATATCTCTTAAGATAATTATTTGATTAGTGTTATATATATTGAGTATTCTGATTTAATTACTAACCAGTCTTCATTTTTAGAAAATAAAATTTTTTATCCATCCAGTTTACAGTCTTCTGTTTATATAGATTTCTTCTATCTCTTTGAACTGAATTGAAGATAACAGAGTAATAACTCCTTCTAAGTTATCTGCAAAGTCTTATAAGACTAATCAAATTTTAAACACTTAAATAATTAATAAAGACTTGCCATCATTTGTATAAAAATGCAAAATACAAAGTATCAGAAATTTAAAACAGGAACTAATAGTAAGAGATTAATAAATAAAATTAATGAATTGATTAACTTTTTATTTGACTTATTTTTCAGTATTAAAATTACATCTATCAGTCTTACAAGAAATCCCATTATGACAAGTTTCAGACTTTGTCATCGAGTTCAAGTTCTCAAACTTGTTTTAATACAAGGCAAACTCGTTAAGACGAAGCCACGCTAAGCCAAAATTGCATTAAGCCGAAGTTTTTCTGGTTTACCAAATTTTTTATTATATATAAATTTGGCTTTATGCGAAATTTAGTAAAACAAAAATCTCGATAAGCCGAATAAATTGTCTCTGCCCCCGATCTTCGTCTTATCGAGTTTGCCTTGTATAGTTATTAAGACTTCAATGCCAATTCAAAATCTACATATTTAGCAAGAACTGCCATATTTTGCAGAGAAGATTAATGAAGCTCGCAAAAAAGTATTAATAATACTTGGATACTTAGCTTTGAAAAAATAATCTCCGTCAATATTTAGCAGTTTTGTCTATATTAATATAATAATCGACAGGTTCTGATATCTTTATTATATATTATAATTATCATCACCTATGTTTGTTAGTTAATGAATAAATCATTACAATGATATAATGCACTATTACTATATTTCTAGCAAAGAACATTCGGAAAGAAAGAGGATCGTGAGATATTATAAATGAATTATGGTTATATGTCTGACATCATGAATATAGTCATAATTAGCTAATAATAACGCAACGGATAAACCTCAGGGCAATAATAAAAACGTGACTTTACTGCCGATCTATCAAAAACGGAACTCCTGATATATCAAAAACGAAACTTTTGCATCATGTAACTCATGTGACTTTAATCTTCGACACATCGATCTTGCGATTTGATTGGTTATCGCTTAAAAATTATCACGTGGTCGAACTTTTGATAACGATTAAAACACCCCCCGATATATGAGCAATATTTTATCTATATCGGTAATGATCGTCAATTTTTAGCCAATAAAATTGATGCGAGTTCGTCTTTGCCGTGGCGTTAATTGTGGCTCGACACTATCGACACCACTCTTCGCTTTAGCCTACCCCCGATTTTATATTCCAAATTTTCTCTCCGCGATAAAAAAACGCACACTAAAAAAGGTATGGTTAAAAACGTCAATTCTTAATCGGACGTTTTCTCCGTATATATTGCTAATCTGAATGTCTTCATTTTACCTCTTACGTTTTATGTTTATGGCTTATCTTGTTTTGGGGGGCAAATGATTGTTACGCGGTTTTCTTTTTTATGGGGGCGATTTGCCTGGCAGTCATGACAACCGTTTCTGCTCACATTTCCACCGAGATAATTTCACAGTTAAATCAAGTTCTTTCAAATTTAGCCTCAAATGATAATACATTACGTTCAGCCGCCGAACAGCAATTGAATGAACAGTGGATAGCCCAACAGCCTGATTTATTATTACTTTCACTTGCACAGCTTGGAAGAACTCACGAAGCGACACATGTGAGAATATAAAGCATTTTAGCAAATGATTATCAAGCCATAACTCAAATATCAACAATTTACTGTTTTTGACTTGACAGAGCCGTTCTTTCTCGTTCGTATTATTGCGGAGAATCGCCTTCAAACAAGCCCCAAATCAGGCCTCAAAGTCGGAAGAAACAAGCATATGGGATGTTCTCCAGGAAGCAAGTAGAGAAGCGATCAAAAATGATTTGTTAATGTCATTATCGGTTGAGCAGGAAAATACAGTGCGTCATAAAGTCTGTGATGCTGTTTCTGAGGTGGCTAAGAATTCTTTCCTGAAAGGACGTGAGTAATTTTTGGGCGAATCGAGTAATTTTTGTCAAATCGATTATAATTCGATGGATATGTTGTCTTTTACTAGATAAATGGAACGAGCTTCTTCCTGCTCTTTTTGAAGCAAGTAAATCCAGTTCTGTCGAACATAGAGAAGCCGCTTTTCGTATTTTCTCGGCCGTGCCCAATTTAATAACGGATCAACCTATTTACATTTTGAAACAAGTTTTCTCTGTCAACTTGCAAGATGCTAACAGTCCTGCTGTTAGTATAATATTTTCTATAATTAATCTTTCTATCATCAAATTAATTTTAATGATCGCGAAATTTTTTTAGGTTCGTATGGCGGCACTTAAAGCAGCTGTTGCTTTCATATTAGAAACAGATCCATCGAATCGTAATTCTTTTGCCGAACTAATGTCGTTGATGCTTGAGGTATAAAAAGTTTTGTTCGAATTATTTGACGAAAAAAGGACTTAATTTCTGAAAATATTCATTATTTTTGCGATAACAAGGTGCTTACCCCTCTTGCATTACAACGTGATGAAGATGGTCTAGTTGATGGAATAATGGTGTTTATCGAACTGGGGGAAAATTTGCCAAGAGTCTTCCGTCCAGTCCTTCCTAATGTTATATCCTTTGCAATTAATATAATGAAAGATAAAACACTGGAAGACGGAACTCGTCAAACTGCTCTCGAACTTTTACTCACATTGTCCGAAGCGTCTCCATCGATGATGCGTAAAACGCAAGATTTCTGTATACAAGTTATCCCAATAGCGTTAGAAATGATGACCGAATTGGATGATTCTGAAGACTGGTACACGACAGATGATGTAATAAATTATCCTTTTTCTTTTTGATAATTTTGGAATTTTGAGCTAAGCTATTAAAAACTATATGATTAGATCGAAGATGACGACAATGATGAAAATTACGTTATCGGAGAACATGCTATGGATCGATTAGCGCGTTACCTAGGTGAGGCTTTTTCTTATTTGAAACTGTTGTAATGGAACTCTCGCTCTGTTCATTTGATAACATCTATATGGATATCCGATTATTAGGTGGCAAAGCAGTTTTGCCTGTTACTTTTCAATATATTCCTAACATGTTAGGTTCTACCAAATGGGAGCAAAGGCATGCCGCCTTGATGGCAATCTCAGCCATCGGAGAAGGCTGTGTAAAAATTATGGAAGCTGAACTTGGAAAGATCATAGAGTACACATCTTGATATTTTTTTATAAATGTAAAAATTTATAAGAATAACAACTTTTATATAAAATTTTAGATTTGTGTTACCTTATTTACGTGATCCACATCCTCGTGTACGTTATGCGGCTTGCAACGCAATTGGTCAAATGTCAACTGATTTCCAAGACTCATTACAGAAAAACTATCATCAACCTGTTCTCTCAAATCTAATTCCTGTAATGGATGCACCGGAACCAAGGTATAACTTTGAAATATTCATTATCTAATCATAATATTGCTGTTTTCTATAATATTGTTTATTTATTATTTTAAAAAGGGTACAAGCGCATGCTGCTGCTGCTTTAGTTAACTTTTGTGAGGCTTCCAACAAATCAATACTTGAACCATATTTGGATACCATTTTCGATAGACTCCTCGTTCTTTTAAATTCAGGGAGAACATATGTTCAAGAACAAGCTATAACAACTATAGCTACTGTTGCAGATAGTGCAGAAGATCGATTTGTGAAGGTATTGGTGCTTGCTTACAGAATTTGCATATTTGACATTTAATTAACTATTTACAATTCAGTATTATAGTTCAATAATGCCTTTGTTGATCAATGTTTTGAGAAATGCTCACCAAAAAGAATTCCGTCTTTTAAGAGGCAAAGCAATGGAGTGCGCTAGTCTTATTGGTAAATGTATAATTCTGATAAATTAACTATGCATTTATCTATTAGATCTAATTAATTTAAATAAATGTAGCTTTGGCTGTTGGTAAAGATATATTTGCAGCAAATGCCAATGAATTTATTGAATTACTTGCTCAGACACAGCGTGAGTATCGATGTACATTTCTTAAAGATCATGATAAATTCCCTCTTACTAATATATAATTATTATTGTATGTTTAGAAACTGTCAATGAGCCTGATGATCCACAAATTTCGTATCTTATTGCATGTTGGGCCAGAGTTTGCAAAGTTCTTGAAACTGACTTTGTGCCTTATTTACCAATTGTTATGCCTCCGCTTCTGCAGTCCGCTCAATTAAAACCAGACTTCGCGATACTGGATCGTAAGTTATGAATTTAAAATCCTGTCATTTCTAATATAATAAGCAACGGTATCCCTCATTATTTATTTTACAGCTGATGAAGATGTCGAATCAAAATATTCCGCGGAAGATGGGTGGGAGTTTGTAGGTGTTGAAGGACAGGTAATACATAATGTAACACATATTATACCTTATCAATTTCTGTACTGAATGACTTTTATTTGTGTCTATAGCAAATTGGTATTAAAACTACGGTTCTAGAAGAAAAATGTACTGCTGTAGAAATGCTAATTTGTTACGCCCGAGAACTTGGTGCTGCGTTTCAACCATACGTAGAAAGTGTTTTGGAAATTGTTCTTCCTCTTCTGAAATTTTACTTCCATGATGGCGTACGACATGCTGCTGCTGCTACCATACCACATCTTTTGAGTTCTGCAAAAAAGGGAGGCGCAACTCAAGAATATCTTATGAATATGTGGCATAGAATTGCTGAAAAAGTTATAGAAGTAATTTCAAATGAAGCTGATCCAACATTTTTATGGCAACTCTATGTGACTTTTTATGAATCATTGGAGACGGCTGGTAATAATAGTTTGACGCCTAATGAACTGGAAAATTTCACAAAAGCCACAGAGTCGCAACTTCAAGATTACTATTCAAGACTCAAACAGCGAGATCAAGCCAGGCAAAGTGGTGATTATGATGCAGAAGATGAAGACATTATCTTGGAAGAAGAAGCGACCGAAGAAGGCGTACTTGGCGAACTCTCCAAAGCATTGCATGTTATTCTCAAGACACATCGAAATGCATATCTCTTATATTTCGATAAATTGCTCCCCATAGTCACAACCTTTTTAGCACATTCGAATTCTGCTGCAAGACAATGGGCATTATGCGTTATTGATGATGTGGTTGAATTTACAGGTCCAGCTTCTTGGAATTATAAAGATCATTTCTTAGAAAAGATGATTGCCTCTCTATTGGATCCAGGTATTCTAGAATAAATTTTAAGGATATAGTTGCAAGTAATTTATTATTAATGATGTGATAATTTGTTAGCATCCGATGTTCGACAAGCTGCAGCTTATGGTGTTGGCGTTTGTGCACAATTTGGCGGTGAAAATTACGCCGATGCTATTGCTGGTACAATTTTTATACTATCTAATGATTTGATGATTATGTTGACTCTTTAGACTCTAAACTAATTTGTTGATTGATTTAAAGCCTCCTTAAGTTCACTATTTCAAATCGTAAATTCAAGTGACTCCCGCATAGACGAGAATGTATATGCAACAGAAAACGCCATATCTGCAATTACAAAAATACTAAAATTCAATAGTAGTAAATGTGATGTGAATTTGGTAATACCATCATGGTTTGCAGCGCTCCCTATTCTTTATGACGAAGAAGAAGCTCCTATTACTTTTACTAACTATAAAAATTTTATTTTAATATAAAAAAAAATTATTTT